GCAGTCAAACTTCGTCAGCATCGTCGTGTACAGCCTCCGGGATCGCGCTTTGGCCGTCGTATTTTGTTTATCATCGCGATTTGGAGTCACTACCTTCTTGTAAGTCGATAGTCCGGCTCGTTTTTTGGCTTGATGCACGGTTGTAGACGATACACCCAGCTTATTTGCGGCATCTCGGAGAGAGAGGTTAGGGTTTCGCTTGAAACTACCGGCAACTCTCTTTGTCGTCTCAGCGGCTTCCGGTTTTCGATTTCCCCCCGATCCAGACTTCCTGGCTGTCGACAAACGTTCCCCAAACACTTTAATTACATTTGTAACGGTTGATTTGGCAACTTTTAGCGATTTTGCCAACTTTGCGTGCGAGTAGCTCGGATTTTCGCGATGCGCGAGCAAAATTTTGATACGCTGCTCTTCTTGCTTGGACGGCATTTTGACAACTGAAGAGTGAATTCCAAAATCAAAATAGGAGCAACATTCTACACACACACACCTTCAAAATGAGGGGTGTTCAGGTTTTTTAAATGCAAAATTGAAAGAAATACGTCAAGTTGATATTGACCAAATTTTGACCGTATCACCCTTTAGTTCAGAATTTGCTCACTACGTGACGCAAGTATACACGTGAAATTCTCACATAAAATTTCGCAGACAGGTGGACAGTAGTTCAGAGTTTTCTCACTTTGTGGTGCTACTATACATGTGAAAATCTTGCATATAAAATATCTCTAGATCCTGACCAGATAGAAAGTAAATGTACTGGGCAAAGTTTTTCAGGAAGTCAAGATCTTTTTGTTGGTTGACAATAGTTCAGAATTTTCTCACTATGCGGCACTAGTATATACGTGCCTTTCTTGCATATTCAATAGCTCGAGATCTTGATCAGCTAGAAAGTTGCTGTCTTCGGCAAAGTTATTTAGAGGGTCAAGACTTTTTGGCTGGTAAACAGTAGTTAAGAATTTTCTCACCACGAGGCGTTAGTACACATGTGCACTTCTCGCATATAGTATATCTCGAGATCTTGATCAGCTAGAAAGTTACTGTCTACGACAAAGTTGTTTAGGGGGTCGAGGTCTTTTGGCTGGTGGACAGTAGTTCAGAATTTTCTCACTTCATGGTGCTAGTATACATGTGAAATGCTCGCATATAAAATATCTCAAGTTCTTGACCAGATAGAACATTACTGTCATCGGCAAAGTTGTTCAGGATATTACAAAATATTTGCTCGTGGAAAGTTGTTCACAATTTTCTCACTACGTAGCGCTAGTGAAATGTGAAATTTTCGCCAGTGATATATCTCGAGACCCTGACCAGATAGAAAGTTACTGTCTTGAACAAAGGTGTTCGGGAGGTTAAAGCCTATTTTTTGTGCACAATGTTTCAGAGATCTTACTACGCGTCGCTAGTATACACGTGAAATTTTCACGTATAATAGAAAGTTACTGTCTTCGGCAAAGTTGTTCAGGAGATCAAGGTCTTTTGGCTGGTGAACAGTAGTTCAGAATTTTCTCACTGTGCTGTGCTAGTATACATGTGCAATCCTCATATATGCTACAGCTTGAGATCCCGAACAGCTAGAAACTTACTTTCTTCGGCAAAGTTGTTTAGGAGATCAAAGTTCAGAACATTTTCGATATGCGGCGCTAGTGTGCATGTTAAATATTAAAAAGGTTAGGAAGTAACTGTCATCGTCAAAGTTGTACATGCGGCAAAGTTCTTCCGGATGGTGAACATGGAAATGTGTTTTGTTCAAAGCTCTCTCATTTTAGTCCAATTTTTGATCTCCTTAGGTTATTTGAATGGTATGAATGGTATACACACTTAGAAATAACTAATTTTACACGTGACGGAATCCGTCTTTGACATAAAAGATGAGACGTAAACAAACATGTCATGTAAAATTAAGTGCTCCGAGACTGAAAAGTTCGTTGCTCGACGAAATGTACGTTTGATTGAGCTATATTGCGCGTCTGTTATGACTCAAATTTATGTCAAAATTGACGCTCGTATACGTCACTCTCAGAGCACCTAATGCTACATGATTTTTTATAAGTGTGTAGCATAAGGGTTCTGTTACAACTTTTAATTTATTTATTTTTCAAGTCTGAGAAAATTAATCATGATTCTTCAGAGTAAATTTTGAAAAATATTGTAGCTTTGGGTGAATATTTGATTTACAAAATTTGAAAATGATATTGAGTAATTTTCCTCTTCGTATTTCCATTCAAAATCTTTCAAATGTTTAAAAAAGAACGAAAATTGGACGTTTCTAGGGGGTGTCCTTAAACTTATGATCGAGAGTGTACGGTTTTATAAATTTCTTCATTCAACTGTGCAAAAGTGCCTCCTTCTCTGAGTTAGTCTCGTTGTCCGTGCATACGTAAATACAGGGATTTTTTTTTTGTTCTAGACCCCTCGATAATACATTTTGAAATAAGCCTAAAATGAGGGAAACTCTAAACATTCATTTGGTGGAAGTTTTAGCGATATTGATCTTTCAAGATAATGTTTTCCATCTGAGATACGTGTTACCAAATTTATCAGAGGTATACAAGTGGAACGACTCACCCAAATTTATGTATCCACAAATCTGTAACGTTCGTCTCTGTTACTTAAGACAACGGCTTAAGCGCCACCTTCTGATTTGAAGGACCGTTATCTCTCTTCTAAACCCGGTATGAGACTACCCTTCTCAGGGCAGGTCGAATAGTAATTCCAGAACCGAAAACAACAAATTGACCCAAACGAAATGAGCAAATGAACTGGATTATTGCGGAACATACATTGAAGTAAACTAAGAAAAAAACTAAAGTCAACCAGAACTGAGCGGCAGAAAAGGTTTAAGCTAGAAGGAACAAACAAACTAAATTAAATCAATCGATTAACGACCCCGAATAGGTGAAATCGTTGGTAACTAAACTCGAATTAAAAATATAATATTTCAATGATACGCATAAATTAATTAATAACTAAATCGAATTTATAGAGTTGCACATAGGGCCTATATTTAGGAAAATTGCAAGCATAAAAACTTTATTGTAAATATTCAGTTCACCTTTTTGTACACCCTAGCTTGATCTGGTGACGTCACGCATTTAGTTAACTCAAAAGGGTTCTTCTTTTATTTAATTGTTCACAATAGGGAAGATCTGACCTTGGCGATCGGCGAGGTGCTCCAACGACGATCTACTACCTCAAGCGTTCCCTCGGCGTCTCGAATGTTCTTCGACGAAATCGTTCGTTGTGTTGGCCTTCGTGCGTAGCCGTTGGCTCGCGCGTGAACGGCGATACACGGGGTATGCGTCTCCGGAAGATTGGTGGAGTGAGAGTGAGTTGGCTTTGCTCTCTGCCTCACGCCTTGGCGTTACGAGCCGTCGCGAATGGCGTCTTGACTACCACCCGAAAACTGATCGACACAATCGATCGAAGGACGTACGCGCACACGGGCACAAGTTCGAGTCTTCGCTACTTGACTCAGGGAGTTTTCCAACCCCACAATCACACGTGCTAGACTTCGTAGCCGGAACAACCTTCGGCTAATGCAGTCCAAAAAACCGAATCCAGGCCTGACAACAACAATCCAATCTGGACGAACCAATCCAGTCCAGACTAGCAGCCCACGTTGGATGGGCTTAATGACGCCTATTCAACGTGATAATCTCACAATTGGTTTCTATATATTTACTAAAAGGCTTACCTGAATATTCAAAATACACTCAATTCACTTTATGTTAAATTCGATTTTTGTATAATCTATCCGAACTCTATAAATACAAATAATTTCACAATTTCACAATTAAAATCTATTAGAAATAAAATAAAAAACGCGAACTTACTTCGAATTTAGTTTTAAGCTATAACTAGAATCACTTTCAAAAAAATTTAAGGATCACTTCCAAACTTGATCATTACTTGATAACTGACTCCACCAGAATAAATCGAGCGACGCGCAAATAGCTTGGTTGAACCTTTTTGCTACGACGCAATTTCCACCTTATAATGTACGTTTTCTATAGAGATTATTTTTTTTATTGGTCAGCTCTGGCGGACTAATTTGGAACAATACTTTCCACTGACTCGGCTTTCCACACAAAAGAGCAGGTAGAAAGTAATTTGTGGAAATTTCCGCAACTTACCGAAGGTTTAATTTATTTTTGAATCCCGTTAGTTCGCCTTAAATTATACATGTTCGCGCAAGTTTTTATTTATTCCGATAGGTGGCTATAAAAGTACAATAGAAAGCTTACAATTGGTATAACTAAAAAGGGATATTTTTAGACTAGGAAAATATTCTCGTTACATTTTCGCCCACACAGATAATAATAAAAATTTTGAAACATAATTTCAAAATTTTTATTAACTAAACATTACTATTAAGGGCAATTTATTATTATTTATCAAACTCTAATTAAACTCGAATCTTTTCGAATTAATAGAATCCCGACATATTTAACTAGTGAAAGTTTTTCTTAACCAAAACACAAAACAAATATATATGCTATGTCATTTTGAGCTCCAAACATTATTCTTAATTGAAACGCAATCGTTCACTATTTACAAGAAACATAACATACCAATTCATACTTGAAAACCTTAACTATGTATAACCAACTTTACCTCAGAAATGTCTGACCAATGACGAATGTCTTCAACCGAAATTTAACCGAATTTACCTCAGAAATATCTGAGCATAGATCTTTTCTACAATACCGATTTAGGTACTTCAGATCAATGGTCTGAAAAATTACCGTATTATTCTAAATTAAATCTACTAATCGCGATCAATCCTATAAACATACGCACTCAATCATAACGCAAAACGACATAGCGAAGACACATAAACTAACGTCAGACGCTTCAGACGCTTCACAAATTTTCTGAAATTTCATTTACGGGTTTACACGTGTTACGCGACGAAGAAGCTGTCAAACACAAACGTCAACTCGAATAAAATTACGGCACCGAACACGAGGAACACGAGCTGAGTTACGACTACGGAGATAATTTGAACAAAACTACGAACAACTAATGGAGGGAATTCGCGGAATCTACTTGGCTATAACTAATGCATACTTTGGGATGTTGCTTCGATAAAAAGAAAACTAAATTAAACGGAGATGGAAAGAAAAAAAAAATACGACTGAAGAAGCATCTGGGCTATTGTTACTTCATTGAAAGGCAACGAATGTCGGTCAAGGTCAACCGACTGCATCGTCCGTCGACCTAGTAAGGACTTAAAAGTGCAACACAGCTCACAAACAAAATTAAACAAACAATTTTATTAAATTTATATTTTGATTTTAGGTTTGTTTGTCTAAACGGAAATGGTCTACAATGCGAGGAAACAGACTAGCCGACATCTCGAGCATTGGACACGGATTTTAAAACCTCTGAGAGTATTTTATTGGTAAATTTCGTGGTTTATGTACATCGTTACGATGCACCGTCATAGCTTCAGATTTACCTACACTCGCTTTAGAAAAGATCCATGATAGCTTCCAGCTATTCTTTGACCATCCAGGCGTTCCAGGGCATAAGTATTCGTACCTAGTACTTCCTTAACACGAACCTTCTCGTACTTGTGAGCAAACTTCGCAACGAAGTGTTTCGATTTGTCGGAAAGATGCATGGTTTTTTTGTAGACAACGTCGCCTTTTTCGAACTGGTGCTTACGGTTGGCACGCAAGTTGTACGGATGGCTGTATTTCTGATACGCTCGAAGCAAGTTTTCTTGAACCTTGCGATACAGTTGGATCATTTCTCCGCCGGTTTCTTCAGGTCGTTTTGACCTCTCACTATCTCTCAAGGTTTCATACTCACTACCACTGCTGATCATATTACGCCCAAAGTTGAGAAAGTAGGGAGTGAATCCTGTACTTTCATGGACATTCGTTCGGATGGCTTTAGCGATTTGGTGCACGTTCTTGTCCCAGTTGCGATGATCTTTTTCGTGATTTAAGGAACACCGTATCGCGGTTACAATTACCCTGTTTACACGTTCAGCCGGATTTGGGCTGGGGTGATAGACGGCTAGCGGCCAGTGAGTCACGGAATATTTTTCAAGCAATTGTTGGAACAACTCAGACTTGAATACCGTGGCGTTGTCCGTGATACAGATTGCGGGTGCACCGAACACATTGAAGATAGTGTTTTCCACAAAGGCACACGTCGATAGAGCTGTTGCAGACCGCATGCATTGTACCATCACAAATTTTGAGAAAAAGTCGCTAACTACAAGCAACCAAACGTTTCCTCTTTTGGATCTAGGGTAAGGACCCAGAAAGTCCATGGATATTAACTCCCAAGGTCGCGAGCACAATTTAGGCTTTCCGCATATCGGTTTTACGTTGATATTGGGTGTTTTCGATTCTCGGCATATTTCACACTGGTTACAGAATCGCTTAACGTCAGATGCTAAGCGCGGCCAGTAATGCCTTTCGCGAACCTTGCTGAGCGTCTTTATAAACCCTAGGTGGGCCTCGTTGTGTATGCTTTGGATGATCCCACGTCTTTGAGCAACTGGAACAACATGTTTCCAGCGGAAAGACGGATCTTCTACCACACTCGTGTTGGTGACATGCTTGTAGATTTTCCCATCTGAAATCCGGAAATCAGGGTATCTTTCCGGGAACTTTTCAACCATTCTCTTTAGTTGAATTATGTAAGGGTCTAAATCGACAACATCGATGGAATTTACGGCACGAGAAAGAGCGTCTGCGGGGATATTTTCTGAGCCTTTCTTATACTGCAGTTGCATGTCGTATTTGGAGAGCTTTAGGGCCCATCGAGCAATCCTTGGGGACTTACTCTCAATCGACATGGTCTTCAAGAAAGTCAAGCTCATGGCATCTGTTTGAATGAGAAAAGGTGAACCCTCGATGAAATGCTTGAAGTTCTCAATGCTTAAAAGGACCGCGAGACATTCACGTTCCGTCGCACTGTAACGTTTCTGCGTGCTCGAAAGTTTTTTGGAGAAGTACGCAATCGGTTTGCGTTCTCCATGTTGAACTTGAGCGAGTACTGCACCTATGGCTAAGTCCGAGCTATCGGTCTCTATAATAAATGGCAACGAGAAATCAGCATTGGCCAAGATGGGTGCTGACACTAACGCGGTCTTGAGCTTCTCAAGGGCAACATTCGCTTCACTACTCCAAACAAATTTCTTCACACTTTTCTTAAGCAAGTTGGTGATGGGTGTCGTGATCTCTGAATAATTTGGCAGGAATTTTTGGTAAAACCCCGCAAGCCCGAGGAGCCGACGGACATCCTTGACCGTCTTAGGAATAGGATAGTCGAGGACCGGTTGTATTTTACTAACATCCATCGAGAGGCCTTCCTCCGAAAGAACGTATCCCAGGTATCGAATAGTTTTCTGACAGAACTTGCTTTTCTGAATGTTTATGGTTAGTCCGGCGTTTCGTAGTCGTTCAGCAACGATCTGGATCAACCGGATGTGTTCCTCAAGACTGTTGGAGACGATAATAATATCATCCAGATATACGTAGACATGGGGCTCGAGGTCATGTCCAAGGACTCGCGACATTAATCGGGCCATGGTGGCGGGAGCGTTTGTTAACCCGAAGGGCATGACCACAAATCGGTACAAACCCTTGTTCGTACGAAAAGCTGTTTTGTCCTTGGCTGATGACTCTAGGGGTACCTGATAATAGGACTCTGATAAGTCAATAACCGAGAAAAACTTTGATTTTGGAATTCGTTGAATGATTCCCATCATGTTTGGGAACGGGAAGTCATCTTTTTTAGAGCACTGGTTCAGCCTTCGGGAGTCCAGGCAAATTCTCCACTTACCATTAGGCTTTTTTATTGGAAGCAGCGGGTTAAGAAAGTCTACAGGCCCATTACACTCTTCGATGACGCCAAGGTTCTCCATTCGTTTCACTTCAGCATCAATGACACTTTCAACACTCGGAGACCAACGATAGTAGGAAACCTTTTTAGGTTTTGCGTCTGGAAGAAGGTCAATCCGGTGTTGGATCAACGGAGTCCGCCCTAAACGACCTTCTCTGGTTTCTGGCAATTGCTTGATGGCTTCAAAAAGGGCTTCTCGTTCGATTTCTGTCAGCGTGTGTTCCGTGCTGAGATCTTCCAGTTTCTCTAAAGTTTTCTCAGGTACTTCTACCGTGGGCATCTCCAAACTCTCGTCGATGTTGACTGAATATTCCTCTGGCAAGCTCAAATCAAGGTGCGGTTCAATTTGGAAACAAATTCTTCCTACTCGATCCCCAAAATACTCTTCCGCATAGTCTAATTCAGTGGAAACTTCTTCAGCGCTCACTTTCTCCGACAGGTTTGAGTGAGGTAAGCATTGCAGATGAAACCCAAATTTATTTAGAAAGTCTACGCCTAAGATCAAACGTTTCGTAACCTCCGGAACGATAATTGTTGGAATCACATCCCAAGTAACAATTTGGGTTTTATGAGGGTTCTGTATACCATGATTTAGACTTGTAGTATGCTATAAAACCTCAATAAAACTTCCAATGTTGCTTGGGATGGGTAGCCTGTTGGTAGGAAAAAGGCACATTAACATAACCTAAACAGCGGTAAGCTGTTCCATCAGCGGTTGAGATTTTGATGGGTATAGGATGAATTTTCAGGCCTAGTTTGTTGATCAAATCAACAGAGCTAATGATCGTTAGACTCGCTCCGGTATCGGCCAGTCCCTCGATTTCTTCCGATAAAATCCTAACCTTCAAGTGTGGACAGCGATGGAATGAGGTATTAATTTGATGGATGTTGTTGAAAATGTTGTAGCTGGAATTGGGAATTTCTCGAGTATTGCTTGGAGGGCAAGAATTCCCTGAACTGCCCTCATCTAATCGTTTTTTGGCAATTCGTCGCTTTGTCCTAGATCGTGCTTGTTAGGACATCGATAGGCCGTAGTGTCTGCCAAACCACATAGATGGCAGAAGATGGTCTTTCTTCTGTCGCAATTCCGCCACAAGTGTCCAACACGTTGACAATTCCAGCATACCACTTGTTTCGTATTCTCTTTTTGGCCGTCCGATGCTGGTTTGGTCCTTGAAAACCGTTTTCCAAACTTTGCCTTCAACTCGCATACTTCGTCGGATTCCTCATCTACAGAATGCTCCTCTGATAGGTCTTCTTCAAACTCCAATTGGTTAATCGCAGGTCGAGGCTGAGTCGAGGTTGAATACAAATTCGATTCGAGAGCATCAAACCTAAAGCATAATTGAGCCAAGTGCTCGATCGAGTGAATGGGCTCTATGGCCAGACGACGCTTATACGAAAGCTTCATATTTTCGACAATGATTTCGAATTTCTCGGCCTCAGTCATCTTCTTAATCATTCTCTGGGCGAGCATCTCCATGTCAGTTAAGTAAGCGCTAAACAATTCCGTTGGTCGCTGCTTCCGAGCGCGCATTTCCTCGCGGATGATACGATCTCTGTTTGGATTGTCATACCTCATTTTCAAATAGGCTTCCAACATTTCCCAAGATGTAAATTTCTCCTCATACGTCGTATACCACCCGTAAGCACTATCTTTGAACAGCAAATGCGCATGCATTCTTAGTTCTTGCTTTGATATATCATACGACCTACATAGAATGTTTATCTGCCGTAGGAAATCTGTAACCGGAACTGCGTTCGTATCACCAGAAAACTTCGGCCACTTTTCGATTATGCTGCACTGTTGATGCGGTAGACGTCTCGGATATCCACCGAACGGCATTCTAGATGAACCCCGCTGGTATTCAGGAGGGTACCGGAAGTGACCTGTACCATCGTTCCCATTAGCTGGGTAATGTAGCGGATGCCTTGGCGTTTCAAGACGAGGTACTTCTCTCAGACGAGGCACACCTCTAGAAGCGCTCACCCCATTTGCAGTCACCGGAATACCTCGTTGTTCAAAGGCCCGTCCAGACAACTGCAACGGTGGCGTTGGATCTGGAAACCGGCTGGGCGGATTCGTAGCTTCTCCACATACCGATGGATCCGATTCAGATCCGGAGCACACACTTACGTTGGCCATCTGGTTTACCAAGTTATTCACGGCATGTTCATCAATCACTGGACCATCGGGACCTTGTCGAATTAGCTGGTCGACATGCCTGTGAATGTAAGATTCTATCTCCGACACATGAATGAATTCACTATTCTGTTGCCTCTCTCCAATAGGTGTTTGCTCAACTTCAACGACTTCAACGTCAGGGTTCGTCCTCAAAGGTTGTTCCGTAAGCATCGGACTACTATGTTTCGAAGCAGCTCCCTGCTCAAGTAAAGGATGAGCGAAACGTCGCTGGTATTGAGATGCATCATATATTCCCATTTTGGAACTGATATTCATCGTCCAGTCACCCACGCGGGAGCCTCGCGGTTGCGGTTGAGGATCTGGGAACTTCCTTGATCTGGCATTAGAAGTGCTGGTTGGAACCGTTTGGCGAGGTATGGCGCCCGTTGACTTCTTTGTTACTTGGACTTTTTTGTCCACACGAGCTGGTTCCAGTTGTCCACCTACCGCTCCTTCAGATTCAACCAAGTCCCACATCAGCATCGAGTCAGCATATTGTCGGACGTAAGCGGCCGGTCCATTTGGATTAACTGGCTTTTGTGAATCGGGTTCAGTCGGGTTGTCACGTGAAGGATTCCTTCGAGCGTGGGAGGTAGCATGCACTTTAGCACGTACCGCAGCATCCAAGTCGAAGCCGTAATACGTCAGCGATAAGCGCGAAATCAAATCCAGCAAGCTTTGCTGGTTCTCCTGTTGCTGAGCATCACACGGATTGTATCGTCGAACTCTTTGGTGGTAGTGAACCAGGCGAGAGAACCACTGGGGATCCGATCCCTGCCGTATGTTATCGGCAAGCTCCTTCAATTTTCTCGGTAACCCACGAAAGTCTTCAGCCATCATTTCATCAGTAATACGGATGTAACTGTCAGCATCAGGGTTTCGAAGGAGAACTCGAAGGTCTCGACGACGATCAGCCACTGAGCCACCCGTTGGATAATCACGGACTGCGAGTTCATAAGCTACTTCACTTTCATCCAAATAAGATGGATTAATTCTATACCACTCCATGTCAAACAAACCAAATAATTTAAATAGGAAATGAAAAATATTTATCTTATTCACTAAAATCACTTAACAAAACCGAAAATAACGTAGAAAATTCACTTTCACTTAAACTAAATCCGAAATACTAAATAACCGATACTAAAACCCAACCGAAAATATCTACTACTAAACCGAAATTACCGAACCAATTTAAACCAAGCCGCATATATGGAATAAAGAAAAGTAAATGAAATTGAAGACGGATTTGACTGTTTTATAAATAATACGAAATTGATATGCTAGAGCTCAAAATGAACAAATTGACCGACAAAATTATAAGAAAATAAATCAACTTTAAATTACTAATGTTTTTTTCGGGCCCCACGTTGGGCGCCAAAATGTAACGTTCGTCTCTGTTACTTAAGACAACGGCTTAAGCGCCACCTTCTGATTTGAAGGACCGTTATCTCTCTTCTAAACCCGGTATGAGACTACCCTTCTCAGGGCAGGTCGAATAGTAATTCCAGAACCGAAAACAACAAATTGACCCAAACGAAATGAGCAAATGAACTGGATTATTGCGGAACATACATTGAAGTAAACTAAGAAAAAAACTAAAGTCAACCAGAACTGAGCGGCAGAAAAGGTTTAAGCTAGAAGGAACAAACAAACTAAATTAAATCAATCGATTAACGACCCCGAATAGGTGAAATCGTTGGTAACTAAACTCGAATTAAAAATATAATATTTCAATGATACGCATAAATTAATTAATAACTAAATCGAATTTATAGAGTTGCACATAGGGCCTATATTTAGGAAAATTGCAAGCATAAAAACTTTATTGTAAATATTCAGTTCACCTTTTTGTACACCCTAGCTTGATCTGGTGACGTCACGCATTTAGTTAACTCAAAAGGGTTCTTCTTTTATTTAATTGTTCACAATAGGGAAGATCTGACCTTGGCGATCGGCGAGGTGCTCCAACGACGATCTACTACCTCAAGCGTTCCCTCGGCGTCTCGAATGTTCTTCGACGAAATCGTTCGTTGTGTTGGCCTTCGTGCGTAGCCGTTGGCTCGCGCGTGAACGGCGATACACGGGGTATGCGTCTCCGGAAGATTGGTGGAGTGAGAGTGAGTTGGCTTTGCTCTCTGCCTCACGCCTTGGCGTTACGAGCCGTCGCGAATGGCGTCTTGACTACCACCCGAAAACTGATCGACACAATCGATCGAAGGACGTACGCGCACACGGGCACAAGTTCGAGTCTTCGCTACTTGACTCAGGGAGTTTTCCAACCCCACAATCACACGTGCTAGACTTCGTAGCCGGAACAACCTTCGGCTAATGCAGTCCAAAAAACCGAATCCAGGCCTGACAACAACAATCCAATCTGGACGAACCAATCCAGTCCAGACTAGCAGCCCACGTTGGATGGGCTTAATGACGCCTATTCAACGTGATAATCTCACAATTGGTTTCTATATATTTACTAAAAGGCTTACCTGAATATTCAAAATACACTCAATTCACTTTATGTTAAATTCGATTTTTGTATAATCTATCCGAACTCTATAAATACAAATAATTTCACAATTTCACAATTAAAATCTATTAGAAATAAAATAAAAAACGCGAACTTACTTCGAATTTAGTTTTAAGCTATAACTAGAATCACTTTCAAAAAAATTTAAGGATCACTTCCAAACTTGATCATTACTTGATAACTGACTCCACCAGAATAAATCGAGCGACGCGCAAATAGCTTGGTTGAACCTTTTTGCTACGACGCAATTTCCACCTTATAATGTACGTTTTCTATAGAGATTATTTTTTTTATTGGTCAGCTCTGGCGGACTAATTTGGAACAATACTTTCCACTGACTCGGCTTTCCACACAAAAGAGCAGGTAGAAAGTAATTTGTGGAAATTTCCGCAACTTACCGAAGGTTTAATTTATTTTTGAATCCCGTTAGTTCGCCTTAAATTATACATGTTCGCGCAAGTTTTTATTTATTCCGATAGGTGGCTATAAAAGTACAATAGAAAGCTTACAATTGGTATAACTAAAAAGGGATATTTTTAGACTAGGAAAATATTCTCGTTACAAATCTGCATGAAAATCTTCACCAGTAAAAGAAATCCAGAATATATTTGTCTTATCCTACTTAGGCTGATGTAAATTGTATTTTTATTTTATGATTTTTGATAAGACGAGAATTACCCGCCAAGTTTTGAGAAATTTCTGAACTACTGTTCATCAGCCAAAAGATCTTTATCTCCTTAACAGCTTTGACAAATACAATAAATTTCTAGCTGTTAAGGATCTCGACATATTATATATGCGAAGATTTCACGTATATCCTAGCGCCTCGTAGTGAGAAAATTCTGTACTATCGGCCAACGAAAAAGTTTTGATCTCCTGAACAACTTTGACGATGACAGTTTAGCAGGTCTCGAAATATATCAAATGCAAGAATTGTACGTGTATACAAGCGCAATGATGTGAAAAAAAAGAATTTCTGTTCACCAGTCAAAAGGCCTTGGCTCCCTGAACAACTTTGCCGAAGACAGTAACATTCTATTTGGTCAGGATCTCGAAACAAACCACATGCGAGAATTTCACGTGTATACTAACGCCACGTAGTGTGAAATTCTGAACTATTGTGCACCAAGCAATAGGCAGTGACCTCATGAACAACTTTTTCAAAGATAGTAATTTTCTACCTGTTCAGAATCTCGAGCTATAGCATACGCGAGAATTGTACACGTTTACTAGCGCCGCCTAACGAGAAAATTCTGAACTACTGTCCACCAGCCAAAAATACTTGACCCTCTGAACAATTTTGCCGAAGACAGTAACTTTCTATCTGCTCAGGATCTCGAGCTTTTGTATATGCGAAAATTGCACGTATATACTAGCACCACATAGCGAGAATTTTCTGAACTACTCCACCAACGAATAGATCTTGACTTCCTGAAAAACTTTGCCGGAGACAGTAACTTTCTATCTGGTCATGATCTCGAGATATATCACATGCGATAATTTCACATATATTCTAGCGCCACGTAGTGAGAAAATTCTGAACTACTCTCCACCAGCAAAAAGGTTATGATCTAGAACAACTTTGCCCAAGACAGTAACTTTCCATCTGGTCATGTTGTAACCAATTAAGTCAAATCCCACGTAGTACGGACACCGTTTACGCGGTTTCCATTCACATTTTCTATTATCCGCATTTTGGGGGTTAACTGTGATAAAAATTTAGCTTCTTAAGTTAAAAACAATTTTTTTTAAGGAATACCCGTTGGTTTCATTTCGGTTGGTAGCTCGGCTGCAAAATGGCAATGGAAAACTCACACTGTTGTACAAAGTACAACGCGCGAGTACTCGTGTTACAAAAGCTGGCGCGAGTAACGGAGGGTTAACTCCTTTGGGCAGCTTCAGCGTTAGCACATCGTTGTAGGGTAGGATGGTGCAAAACGCACCGTTTAAGCAAAATCGTCAATTGCTGGCGTATGGAAGCTAAAATCAAGAAGAAAGTAATGGTGTTTGGTTCATTACCATGTTTTCTACGAAGAGTGATTTCGAACTATAGAACGATGCATTTTCATGATTTTCAAGGTATTTTATAAATTGGTTCCAATATGATAGCGGGGCAAAACGCCTGATTCATGGTGATCTGACGCCTAATGATTATTCCTTTATGTTACATCAGAAATAAGGTCGCAATAGAGTGTTAAACTGTGATTCATTAAGTAAAACATCTAAAAAATATACGAAAAGTGAATTCGTTCAATTTTTTGCGATATATGCTATTAAAAGCTTAATTTGAAGTCGACGATTTTAACAACTGTGTCATATTTTGCACAAAATGCTATTTTTTAAGGGAATCAGTAGGTCAATATATGATTTTATGATCAAGAATCATTTGTGAAACCTCCAGTTGAAAACAAACACAATCCGTTACTCAGAAAATGCACCTGAGGAAAAGCTATCGCTGTTTTTCTATAAGTGGGCATTTTACCCCAGGGGTGCATTATGGGCTGTTCTCCCTTACATCCCATTCCAGAGCGTTGGACCAGCGATGGGACCTTGTGAAATTCCCGCTGTGGTCCTAATCGATCTCTGTCGCGTAGACCAGAACCCGATTCTGGAAGTAGCTCCTCAGGCTCCTGCAAACGAAAAATCCACGCCAGCTGTAAATTCCCTCTAGTTAAATCTTTAAATTTCACTCTGCGCTTCGGTCAGAGAGCGTATAGAGATCTCTAAGCGCAATCTCACGAACACTGAAATCCAACGTCCATACATAAAAATAAAGAAGAAGAAGAAACAAAAAGGTATCGCGATATCACAACTACTTAAAAAGGTAGCGCGCGGTCTCACGCACACTTTTGTGCATCTGGAGAACTCTATAGGGCGTCGTTGTGCCAATTTGGTCGTGGCACATTTCGAATATGAGAGAGTAATTGCAGTTATATCAAAAGTGCCTGAGAAAAATGCAAGTACTTTCGCAGATTATCCGAAGTTGCGATAGTGAAGGTATGATCACAGACAAGCAGACATAACACTCTAAAAACGTTTATCAAAATCGTTTTTAACGGTCAATTTAAATGTTTCTTAAATGATTGATTATTCTTCTACCACTCCGATTGAGCGACGATTTGTCATGGTAGACGTAAAAGTTTTGTCTGTATCGTTGGATGCTTTATGTGTTTGGATTCGCTGAGTATATTAATTTTGTTCAGCGCATTATTCGATATATCACCTTATTCAGCAGTGTACACTGTTGTTCAGCATTTACTCAATAGATATGCTTATTTGCAACTCTGGCTTGTTTGTTGGGTTAAATTTTAGTAATCATTTCAAAGTTCAACATCAAAAGCTATTTATTGTTTTCATGGTTAGTTAAATAAAAAGAAACCCCTGTTGCATTAAATATACCAAAACCCAAATTTAAAAAAATCTGAAACATTGACAAAGTTTACTCTCCAAATAACACCAACAGCAATCGTATCGAAAGCGTCTATTCAACCCACGGTTGAACCGGCTGCACCTGCCTAGGATATCCAAACAATCTAACCAAGGGCCGAACGATGCAAAAATATGCAATCTCCAGCAGGCTGATGACACTTGCTCCCATCATCAGCGCAAAAAGTCCACCAATTTGCGCCATAAGGTCACTTAGTCCCATCAATTCGCGTCGCTTCAGCGGAAGCAGCCATTTGCTCTTGAACCCCACCGCCACCAGAGCGTGATCGTCGGAGCTAAAATTAAAAAGCGATCATCCAAATGTACTGCTTGCACTTTCTGATAAAAAATTACGTACTGCTTGTAGAGGTTGCGCGTATAATGATTAGCATCAACGAATTGGTGGGGGTTGAACGGTGACCTCGAAACCTCCACGTCATATCTCAAGCTGACACAGCTTGGCATGCAATAACACGGACCAATTTCCTCTTCATTCCCATTGATTGTGCCATGAGGATTCATTAGCTTATGTTGGGCAATTTCCGAACAGAATCGATTCATTCCCTCGCAAAGGGTTGTGTTGGGACTTCTTGGGTTCGATAACTTGTCACAGTGACAATCCGAGACGGTCAGATTTGCCATACATTCCAACATACAGTTGTTCAGGTTGTAGACTTTAAAGAATCGCAGGAATCGTTCGTCGTTGAAGTAGCACTGTCGCCTAGAAGATGGAGAAGGAATCCTAATGAGATGAGATTCAAAACAAGAGTGTCACTTACCTTGAGTGAGAATGTTTCTTAAGATCACGTGAAATGAGCGTCAGCACTGGTTTTACCGTAAGAAACAGCGCTTGCTGAAATGGTAGCCTATAGAATCGATTTGTCATCGTGGAATACTCGTCCGGAGGATGTATCGAAATTTGAAACCCTTTCACAGGGCCTTCACACATATATTCCCTATCGATTTTTCTCGTTTTCAAAACTACTGCAAATCCGGAAGGGAAGCCTTTTCCAATCGATCGATAGGGATAGTTATCTACTTCGGCATTTCTGCTATAACCGGTTTCCATGCTCCAATCTGACGACTTTGTCCAAGAATTAATCGGAATGCTATCAGGATGGACATTTTCCATTCTGAGAAGGTGATCTGCGGAAATTTCATTGAAGGTGAAACACAAGCCACTATCTGTCATGGTACGGGACAAAAGTTTGTTGCATGGTATTTCTTTATGAGTGCCTTTCCAGTAGCAGTTGACGAATAGGTCTTCCATTGGAAGTGAAATATTGTTCAAAATTTGAACCAAACTTTTGTTCATCGCTTTCCTTGGCTGAAACCAGAATTGCAAAAACGGACAGACATGACTCAAAGCATAAAGTTTCTCGTACCTACAATAAAGTCCAAATTCACACAATTAATTATCCTAGTAAAATTGAACTACTCATACTCATCCCCCTCGAATTGGGCACCATTCTCAGCACGAATCATCACATCCGACAGGTTAAGCTCTTCGACCCGAACCTTGGCCATGGGACATATGGTCACTGCGGGGAATGGGACGGACCAAATCGGATGCATTGTTCTGGTGTAGGTGATAACAACCGGACTTAGCATCCACTTGAAGTAGATGGCTACGATTATCAAACAATAGGCAGCGATGAAACTTAGAATCGAACTTCGCCACCACCAGCGCTCGACTTTGGGCAACTGACTATCGAACGGATATCGTAGAGCGTTAACCGAGCTGTTTCGGCTGTACTCTGTCCAAAGTTTGGCCAAAAGGTTTCGGCTTTGGTTTGACATTTTTTTTTTCAGGAGCGATTTTAGAACTTGATGTTTGAACTATTCATCGAATACAAAGTGAGGTTGCTCGATGGGTACTTCTGAAATGACATGTATTTAAAAAAAAAAGTCATTACCGTAATTGAATTTTCATTCTGCATCCAGATGGTTGTGAAAAATGCGAGCTATTTATTATAAAAGCAATCATTGGAAAAGGGGTATGGGTTTGCAATCTTGTTCAGTTCCAATCATGTTAATGGTATGTAGGATGAGGTCTTCATAATTAGGGAGTTATATTTTATGGGGGTACCTTCTCATTTCTACGACCTTTTAGTATTCCGCTGAAATTTAAAGATTTAACTAGATCTAATCTAATCTAATCGAATACAAACGCAGCCAGTACGAGAAAGCATCATGGAAAATGATTAGGTTAGATGAGGTCTAATCATTTTTTTTGTCTAATTGATGTTGAGATATCAAGATCAAAAATTAAATGGCCTTAACTCCATTTTGTAAACAAACCTTGTAAGGCCATTTTCTCGCGAACCGAAGTCAGCAAAGGCAAACCAACATAATGAACAGGTAGAGGAAATTCTCCTCTACCCGATTGTGGTTAAGGTTTGCGAATGAAGGATTCGGTTCGCGAGAAAATGGCCTTACAAGGTTTGTTTACAAAATGGAGTTATGGCCATTTCAATTGTTGGTCTTGATATGATATAAACATCAATACGGCCAAGCCTACTACGTTGTATTTGTCGCAAAGATGATTCTTGGAAATTAAAGGGAACATTGCTTGAATCTACAGGGGTGGAAGGATGCGTGGACATACCGTACCAAACGCTCCGAGTTACTATGTGTAGTTCTAGGCTGGTAGTGCTGTTGCGATATAATAGTAGTGACTTTAGTGACTAAAATTACGGAAATAGTGACCAAATAGTGACTTGTAAATACTCAATAAGTAACCAATTATATGGTAACTTAGAAATTCAAATACGGTTTGATTTTAAAATAAACTTTTTATGTCATGGAACTTAAAATCAAATTTCATAAATTCCTCTAATTTAATCGAATCTCACAACGGAATCTCCTGTGAAGAGCATTTGAAGTGATTTGAATAATTTACTTTTGCTAACTTTATACATGATGACTAGCAAATAGTAATTCTCATTTTTTTATGATCTTGTATTTGATTCTGCGTTCGAAATCTTTGAAATTTTGATATATCTAGGAAGATAACTTTGATAATTCGCTAATTTCATCAGAATGATCACAAGAACATTTTTAGAATATTTCCCCTTCTGTTAAACATAGAGGCAAATAAGCTTTAACAAAAATAATACTGCATTCTTGAAATTCTTTGCAGAACAATCAACAAAATACTTGGAAATAGATTATTTCCGTAGTTGGAAATGCTTAACATCAAATATCAGAATAAAATTTGACATTTCATACGATAGATAAGAAGATGAAAGTAAAGAGTTGATAGTTCCGGCAGTACGGTAGTGTGAAATTTGTGTATAGAAAGTAGAAAACAAACAAACGACAATTTTGAGGAAGGTATTATTATTATTTAACTTTATTAGGGAGGCTTTCAGCCTTGGGCTGGTTCGCCTCCACATTTGAGGAAGGTACGAATCGGGTAGAGCATCTCCTTTACCAAGCTCATCCGTTAATGAGGGATGGTCAGGGGTGTTTCCCCCTGCTACCACTGGCAAAAGGGATAGCCGCCGATTTGCTCATGTACCGCCGATGTGCGGAAACAGTTCTATCGATTGTTTCACACTCAAGTCGCTACCTGTCGCAAACAACTACCCGATTCGTACCTTCCTCAAAATTGTCCTTTGCTCGCTTTCTACTTTGTATATACAACTTTTTACTATAATTTAATCTCTTCATCTATCGTATAACATCTCCACTTTAAGTCTGATATTTGACGTTAAGCATCTCCGACTATGTAAATCGTTAAGTTTACGCATGAAGTAATAACACATGAACAGTTCAAGTAGATCATTTTTGATTTGTAGTTGATTCTTCTAGGAACTCCCTGCAGGCTCCTTCCATAAATCTATTTTAAATTTATTTGAATTCTCCTTGGGCTTTCCATGCAATTAACCTCAGACATTTCATAAATTTCTGCTTAGAATAATCTTGGACATCTCCCCTGCATTCAATTGGAAATTCAATTCGTATTCTCCTTAGGATTCCCATAGTATTTCCTCAGAATTCTCAAAACCAAAATCCATCACAGAATCACTTTGAAACACTTCTCAGAATTCCTTCGAGATTGAACCTTAAAAAATCGATTCTATTGGAATAACTCTTCTTCGAACTCTTAAGAATTCTCTTGGAATTTCAGAACTAATTTTGAATGGAAGGGGTTAGAAGGAAAGGGGTGTAAGTGACTTTGATCAATTCTCTTTCGTTAATAATTCCTTGATTCGTGTGTCATTCTGGACACTAGATGAGAACCTCCTTTATCAAACTATGTGGCAGAAATAGCGCAAACATTTAATTTATAAAGCTGTAACTATCAACAGAGAAAGTCGATGAAGAGAATCGATCAAAGTAACTTACCCCCCCCCCCCCTTCCTTCTAACCCCCTCAATTTTTATTAGAATTGGACCTAAAATCCTCATCCAATCATCATAGAATCCTTCTCAGAACTCCCGGTAGATGCACTCTCAATTATATTGGAATTATTTCCAAAATTGTTTCGGAGCAGAAATTTGCGTCTCTAATAATTTAAACAATAATCATAAGCGACTCACGTATGTTTTAAGCCAAGCTTAACTTTATTGGTAAACCTGGCTTAAGATTTAAGCGGAGATTAAGCACTTTATTTTACATGAGACTATCGTAGTCTGTACTTTGGTATTCTTCTCTGATATATATTGGTGTCATCCCTATAATCCTTTAAAATTCTCTTAAAATTTACTTTGGATTTTTTAAAGTTCTTAATCATCCTTGAAAGACTTTTGAAAATCTATCACAAACAAATACCTTTGGAAGGTTTCCAAGATTTAAAATTCATTTTCTGGGAAAGGATGTATATTTTCTCCGATTTTTAATCGAAATTGAAGGAATTTCCCAATAGTTTTCTTGATGTTCTAAAGTTTTGCGGTTCACTGATCACCCTGGTTAAAATTTTAAATCTTTTAACAGATATGTATATTTTGTCAAAACTACTTTAGATTTTCTTAGTGCCAAGTACTCAATTTAAAAATATTGTTGATATTTTTTAATTTCACTCTATTTTAGATATAGAGATATAGTGCACATTTTTTGCATTTAAGTGCAATATCGCATACATTAGCAATATTGTGTGCAAGCTTGTGAACGATTTCGTGGTTTATGACAAGTATAGCTCAAAATTAAACGAAGGGAGATTTTACGCAATACTGAAAATTCAGATTTTTTTTTGTGCGGATAAGGGACAGTCTGCGGTATACCGAATGATGTTGTGGTCCGTCAACCAGCAACTGTCGCCGGACTTGAGATGGGTTTCGGTGATGAGGCCCATGTCGATGGTATGCTTGCGGAGGAAGTCCGCAAGCTCGATGGTTTTTGCTCTTAAAGCAAGCGTTCCAGGTGACGATAGTTAGCAGTTTAGACGCCATAACGGATGATAAACTTACCGACTACTTGGATCTTCTCGGGCTTATTGCGACACTAACGAAGAGCACCATAGTGTTGACGAAAATTTCCATCAGTTGGTTTGTCTTCGGTCGATCTTGTTTTCCGTACTGAGTACCAATGTTACCGACACCAGAAAGGCAGCTCCCACACCTGGACCCTACTTATTGACCCATCAACTCATGAACCAGGGATCAACGGCTTTACTTCCAGTAGGATACACTAAAGAGACTGAATTGGGCAAACAGACGACATCTTATCCATTTGACAGGTCTTCTGCTCGATTGGAATAACTTTTCCTATGACTTTGACAGATAATCGATTGTTCAAATTTTGACATGTCGTCTCTTTATAAATTAATCTCTTTAGGATACACCATACGCTCCGTCAAATATGCGCTGCAGCATACCCCTCGGCTAACTGTCAATTGACGTTGACGCGGCCAAAATAAGTAGAGCGTTTGCCAACACTGCGCTCGGCTGTCGTGAGCAGCGTTGCCAGATATACCGATTTATCGGTATTTATACCGATTTCCGAACTAGATACCGATATACACATAAGGTTAATCAGAATACCGATTTTTGAGATATTATACCGATTTATACCGTTTTTTTAAGTAATGAAAATTATTATTGCCTGCCCGCGCTCGAATTTCGGAGAAAATTTTTGTGAGAGACTTGTATATTTTTTGAACATTATTTAACTTCCGGCAGTTTTATTCACTTTTAAACTTTCTGAAGTTTCATCCAACTATCCCTGGAATTTTCTTCCACCACCTTGGAAGCTTCTTTAGCCTTCGCTCGAATGATTCTTTCATCATCTCCCGCCAGTTTTTTCAACTTTCCTGGCACTTCAAGGATGCTATCAGATTTTTTTTGCGGATCCACACTAGCTGCAGGAACATTTAAGAAGTTTTGAAACTTCAGAAAAGTCCAGACCTAGTCCAGACTTTTGTGTCAGTTTCGATAAATTAAAGACAGTTTCATTAACTTCTGTTAACATTCAAAAAACCGGAAATTTCAGAAAAGTCCAGTGAACTGAGTTCTGAAAAATTTTCGAAAACTTCAACAATGTCCTGAGGGGCTTATGCAAGTTTAGGAAACATAAGGAAAGTTACATGAACATTAGATTATTATGAGAACATTTTATGGGAAGTTCTATGCTTTTTAATGGCATTGTCGATAACTTTTAAAAATTAAAAAAAAAATCTGGAAGCTCAGAGAACTTCAATTCTGATGATACAATAAATTCAAGAAAATTGTGAAAGCACTTAAGAGATTTCGTAATCTTCAAGAAAATCTAGAGACCTTCAAAGATGATTAGAGGCATTCTGGTAGTCTTATTGTAATCAGGGAAGTTCCGAGCGCTTCGAGGATGACCAGAGAACTCCAAAACAGCCCCTCATTTCAGGAGCAGCTCGGCATTGTATTTTGCTGGAAATTCAGCAAAAAATATGTTTGTTAGCTGAGATCTCGACAAAATTCCCGTTTGTTAGCTGAATCTCGGCAAGTTTTTCACTGAGATCCAGCTAAATAAAATGCCGAGCTGCTCGGTGGTGCTTTTTCCAAGCTTCTTCTGGCTTTCCCTGGAAATGTATACTTCTGGAAATTTACTTCCGATTTCCGAAACTTCATCCAGGACTGCTTTTTTCGTCTTTCTCTTGATGTTCAGAAGCTTTCAGAAATTTTTGCTTTGATTAACGGCTTTGTCAGTCTTAAAATCTTAAAGTCAGTCAGTCTTAAAGTCTTGTGGCTGATTTAATATATTTTGGTTTCATTTAATGATAGTTAATCGAAAAAAACTACTTGGTCACAATTTCGATCACCATTTAAGGACAACGATAATTTTAAAATTAAATTAAAAAATTAAAGAGTGTTTTAAGAATGAGAAAGCCAGTAAACAAAGCAATTCCCCTCAAGTCCCAGTCGTCACCATTGTTAAAAAATTTCAAAAACGGTATTTCAAAAACGGCAAAAATTTAACATGAATTAAATAGTAAAAACCGTTAAATACCGATTTTTTAATACCTTCGAAACCGATAAACTGTAAAACAATCCGGCAACGCTGGTCGTGAGCAGTTAGCAAAGAGCATCGTCCTCTCTCATCTGCACGCCATTGATCACGTAAGTTGTACTCAGTGTAAAGTTCCGCCCAACAAACAATTTTAGCTGCAGACTAGCTTATACAGGCATAAATTTGCTGTATAAGCCAATTTTTGGCTGTATAATCTAATCTGCAGCTAAAATTGTTTGTTGGGCGTGATCCTCCGGTCATTTTCCGGGCAATTAATGTAGTGCAATCGCCCGGGCCTAACGATGGGGATATTTGGCAGAACCTCACAATGGCGATCCTGCCAGGATAGTTGCGTGATCGCAACTATAAGGAAAGTCACATTAATTGTCCGGAATGACGAGGCACGACATAAGGAAATGAATCCAGGACGCAAAGAAAGGCTACAAACCGCCATTTTGAATTTGGATTTGCCAAGCGAATCATGTAGCGTGTTGGAATTGTTGTGTGTTGTAGTTTCGGAAGTGTAATTAGCAATAAATTTAATTACTGGAACAAGATTTCAGGGCACTTTTTTTTTAATTTTGATTGAATCCGTGCATTTTTGCGTGTGTGAGCATTATCGTTAATGTACCATAGCAGTGAAACTCGCATTTTTCGTTCGGCTGCTATTGTTCTTGTTTTTGTGAGATTAGTATACCGCCTAGTGAAGCTTCCGGTGGGCAGTTTAGCTACTGTTGGGATAATCTGAACGAAAGTCTGTTGCGAGATGGGACACCTTGTGACGACAAGTGGTTCGGGACGACCACCATGATAACTATCGCTATCTTTGCCACAAGTGGGATACTTGATGGGAAAATTTCGAATAAATCCTTGGTCTAAAGAATTGAAATATACTCTATGTTGGCAATGTCGGCCTAAATGCCCCTAATTTCGGCCCATACATAAATTCAGCAATCGACTAAATTTTCAATAGCGACCAAAAATATCCATTAGTACCGTCTCAATGACGCGTTCAACGACATAAAATTGATAAACGGCAGATTTTTAGCGATGGGCCCAATCTTAGATCCATAGGCCAACATTACAGCCATTTCCCGTATGTCTTCAAATTTGGCATCTGGTCTTCTTGATATGTTGTCTTCGATTTATGAAAAAATATTGGATTTGCTAAAATGGATCTTCTGAAAATTTTCCAACCCGCGACTATCGCAACGACCCATCGCAGATACAGAATGCATACAAGTAGGCTTACACTTACAGTGAAGAATTTTCTTTGGAATTGCAATATGAGAAAATAAATTCAACAATTTTTTATTTATGTTTTGCATTATGAATACATCAACATGCTCTGAAAACAAATGTGCCCCTTGAATCCTGCTTTTTGCATTGAATGACACTTTGACTATATGTGTTAGTATTACTTCTGCGTGAAGTCAACGATTTGCATAGTTGAAGATGCTAATTTCAAATAACAGACTGTAGTGGTAATTTTTATACGATAGATGGAGTAGATGAAAGTGTAGAGTTGATAGTTCCGTTAGAGTACGGCAGTGTGAAAATTGCATATAGATAGTAGAATAGCGAGCTAGGACAACTTTTAAGGAAGGTACAAATCGGTTTTTTCATCTCTCTTTACCAAACTCCCCCTTTGGAGAGGGATGGTGAGGGGTGTTCCCCCCCCCCCCGCCACTACTGGCAAAAAGAGATGAAAGCCGACCGATCAAGTACCAACGTTGTGCTCTACCGATTTTTTACCGCACTTCAGTTGTTATTTGAAGGAAGGCATCCAGTCGTAGGCTTTGGAAATTCCAACTATTGCAACACTGCCGTACTCTACGGAACTATGAACTCTACACTTTCATCTACTCCATCTATCGTATAAAAATTACCACTACAGTCTGTTATTTAAAATTAGCATCTTCAACTATGTAAATTGAATGACAGTTATTATAATGTTAAATTCTTACTTCACTGTACTTCATCGACTTTCACCAACACCTAGCTCCTCATTGTTCGTTTCGCTTACACACTGACATCGCTTCTCGCGTTTCACTGCCCGGGCCTTCCTGCGATTGGCCAACACCCACATAGCAACCGGTCTCAGCGTACAGTAGTAGATCAGTTCCACCAAACTCACCAGACTGACCCCCATGAACAGTCCCATCAACCCACCGCAGCTGGCAATCATCTCGCTCACACTGTTGATCTCGCTTCGTAGCAGGGGAATGAAATCGGCTCCCCGAAAGGATATCACCATTTTCGATTGATGAACACTGAAACGAAAGTTACTTTTAGTTTGAAAGAAATTTTCGTTCAGGATTTTGAAACGGCAAACCTATCCCCCATCGGTTGGCGTTCCATGTAGTTGAAGAATTCTCCACTTTGCCAGTTCCACCTGGCTTGAGAAACCTGCGTTCGATACTCCACGTAGTTGCACGTCGGTAGACAGTTGCACGAGTCGGAAGATGGTGCTTCGTTCGATTTCGCTTTCTTTTTGGCCGTCTTTCTAAGAAGTTTGGCAACGGCTGTCTGGTAACATGGACTGTCGTGAAGCGTACAAATTGGAGCCGCCTTTGGATGCGGCATCCAGAACTGAACGCATCCGCAGAGGCGCCGGGTGTAGTTCGTTAGGCATTCGATTTCGCAGTTGATTTTGTTGTAGATTTTGAATAAGCGCAGATAGCGTTCGTTTGTGTAGTAACATCTGCGCTTTTCCGGAGAATAGAGCCCAGCACGTTCGTCCGTAACCATCACGGTTGGAGTTACAGTTACCATCAGTTCCTGGTTCAACGGAACTCGAAAGTACTGATGTGATAGCTGTGGGAATTCGTTTGGCATGTGCAGCATTACTTTGAACCCTTGGAAGGAATCGCCACACAGGTAGTCCAAATCGCTTTTGTTTGCAATGAGAGTAGCTCCAAGGCTGTTCCGATAGCCTCCGGAAACGATTCGCCGAGGGAAGGCATCGATTCCGACCTTATCGTGGAAACCAACGTCGAGCTCCCAATCTGAAGGCTGCGTCTCCGAGTTTAGATTGTACCTTGGATCGAGTTCTTCCTTCCGCAGCAGATCGTTATTCGCTATGGAGTTGAACGTGTAGCAAAAACCTTTCTCGGTTAACGATGTTTTGAAGATACTCAAACAAGGCACAGTTTGACCTTTCCAACCGCATGAGTTGAAAACCTCGAATGATGGAATTGACATCTTTCGGAGCCGCACCAAGACATCGTCATAGTAGAATGGTGTTTCATGTTTGTCGTAGATGTTGTAGTCGCACAACTGCAGCAAAAGTAGTAGCTTTCTAACTCTGCAAAGATAGTTTCTTCATTAGTTCAGTGATTCACATGGACACATGAACCCTTACCGTTCTTCATCCATGGACTCGTTCAGCTGGTTCTTGCGAACGAGCTCGAAGGTGTGTGAGATGTTCAGCTCGGAAGCCTTAACCTTCGTTTCCGGGCAAATGGTCACCGCCGGAAAAGGAATCGAATAGATCGAAGACGACTGCTGATCGAAACTTACGATGATCGGATCGCGTTCCCACTTCTCGTAGATGTAGTACGTGAGTACGATACAGTAGTACAGTGATACAACGAACACGAATATCCACCACACTCTGCAACGAATTCAGTCCAACTGATTAGAGATCGTGTTTAGATGAATGGTTCTGGATGTAGCTAGTACCTTTCTATCAGTAGCTTGTTGCTACCGAGAAATTGCTTACAACCGTGAATGGGCGTTACGTCACAGAATTCGCATGCACTTTGCTTGGTATACTCAGCGACAAACTCCATTGTCGGTGTTGCTTTTGGTGTTGGTGGTGGTTCCCTACTTTTCCTATTGTCGGGACAATGCATTGTCATCGATTTTTGATCCAACATTATTGGTTGATTAACAGTTGGTCTAGAATATTATTTATTTTATGCCAATTTGAATTAAATTGATCGTGTGCTCTGTTGAAAATCATTCATCGAATGATGTCACCGTACTGCCGATCCATCAAATACCAATTGCTATTTAACGTTTCCGATGATCGACTCGTATAATTAATCAATTATACGAACGTTTTACTAGACACGTATGGCTCAGATACGTCAGGAGCGCTGAAGTAACAATCGCTAAGGGCTTCAGCTCTCTTTGATATACTCAAGTGCACCACTCGTGAACTGCGGTTGAATACTGATGAGCACTGGTCATTTACACCTTTGTTCCTAGGCTTTGGTGGCTGTTTTTGGTTTGTTAATAAGCGAAACAGTACATTTTGCGATAAGAATTCTACTTCTATGGTTAGCAGTAGGAATAATTCCAACAAACAATTTTAGCTGCAGCTTAGCTTATACAGGCAAAAATTAGCTGCATAAGGCAAATTTTGGCTGTATAAGCTAATCTGTAGCTAAAATTGTTTGTTGGGATGTTTAGCTTTTACGACTTACTAAAATGTTTTGGGGTAATTGGATGCTCAAGCGACTTTAACATGGATAATCTATCTGATAGATGAAATTGGAATGGGCATTACAGTTTATAAACGGCACGCAAAAAACAAATTCAAAAACATCAGATGTAATTGTGGATTTCCTACAACAAATGTAATGGCAGTTCTTACAATGGACATGTTTTTCCAGAATAAATATTTTCGTATAACATTTGTTGGAATTTCCAAGCAACAGTGCATTTGGGGAAACTGAGGAGGGTGACTCTATCAAAAAATGCAGGAAATTTTTTGAATTACTGTCGTGAGATACATGTGGGATTAGTAGATACAAAGGAGATTGATGAAGATTTTGTAGATTTCCTGCAAAAAGATAGAACGCGATGCTAGTAGATAGATTTAGATGAGTAAAATGAAAAAAATGATTTATTGTCGTTAATTTTGTCTGCGTGAAATTTTTGAACATCTCAGGATTGAGATTTGAGATTGAGAAAATTAATCTAGTATACAAATTATTTGGGAAACCTTCCAACGACTACATTACGGAATCTTTTCATGCGGTGGAACATCACCAATTCTGCATTCTTTCAACCCTTTTTTTAGTTGAGTGTGGTCAAAATATTGCACTGAATATTGGTGTGATTATTGGTTTGGAGCACTGTGCACTGTCACAATCAGTATAGCAACTATAGATTGTACTCAAATAAAAATGCAACACTTTCTATTGCATAGGTAAAAATTTATGAAATTTTAAGTAAAACTTGTTTAGAGTGTAATTTTTACATGTGCAAAATCTCGTCACAGTCAATCGTCAAGTGGTTATCGAGATGGCTCGCAAGTAAGAAGTGCTTCGACAAAAAAAATGTGGGAGCGGTCGAGGAAAATCCAGGCCAGTCCCACAGGTGGATCGCGAAACAGTTTGGAATCGACAAATTTACCTTGTCCCTTGTGGTAAAATCATTCAAGGAGACTCAGACGACACAGCGGTGAGCTGGCAGCGGAAGAAAAGCGAAGATGACCGACCCCGTGAACGCAAGGAGGGAACATTTCGATTCGAGACGTGGCCAAGTAGGTCAATTCTTCCGTTTGGTTCATCCAGCAGACAATGAAACGGGCCGGACTTCATGTCTTCAAGGTAAGGAAGGCACGTAACTGAACCGATAAACAGAATACGGTGACCAAATCCCGCACCAGAAAGCTGTAGGGTAGAGAACTACTTCGGCCTAATCGCCCATTTTGGGCCTATCGTGCAGAAAACTTCAAATAAATCCATGATTTTAGAGTTACCAAGTCAGTTATGCGTTTAGTACGATACTTTAGTTAATAAGCTACCGAACGAAGTCAATGAGAACGCGTGATATGAAGGTTTGCACCCATTATTCCAAAAACAAAAGAAGCGCTCCGACCGTATCAATTTTTGTCTTCATCCGATAGGCCGAAGTGAATTCATTGGCGTTTCAATGGCGTTTCAATGCGTTAGACCGAGTTTATAATCCGTAGGCCGAGTTTGGCGTCAAGAAGCAGTGTTATACTTTTGACAATATCTCAACGATTGGTTTCTTTTTATCAAATCTTACGGTACGTACGGAAAGGTAAATAAATTTGGAAGCCATCAGTAATAATAACATTCCGTTTGGTGCTAAACTGCGCTAGATTAAGAAAGACTAAGTGCGGGTTGTGCTTAATAGGCCGGAAATGGGGTAGTTAAGCCTGCCGTGAATGGTTAGTGCAGCCGAAATGCATCGTAATGGATGACGAGCCGTACATTAAAGCGGACCCCAAGCAGGTCCCCGGCCTGGAGTTTTTCATCGGCAAGTCCCGCCTGGATGTTCCGGAGAAGCTCCGGAAGAAGAAGGTCGACAAATTTGCCAAGAATTACTAAGTGTGGCAGGCGATCTGTGGGTGCAGCAAATTCAGCAAGCCGTACATAACGACCGGCACCATCAACGACCAAATATATAAAGAAGAATGCCTTCAGAAGCGCCTGCTGTCCTTCCTCCGGTCCCACGAAGGTGACACTTTGTTTTGGCCGGATCTGGCATCGTTCCATTACGCGAAACCGGTGATGGAGTGGTACGAAGCCAACTATGTTGTTCGAAACTTAATGGGGCTGTTTTGAAGCTCAATGATCAGCCTCGAAGTACTCGGAACTTTCCTGATTATAATTAAACTACCGGAAAATTTCTTATCTTCTTTAAAAGTTCCTGGACTTTCTTGAAGAATTTGGAAATTCTGTAGTGCTTTCAATTCTTTTTATATTAGTGGAACATCAGCATAAAGTTCTCTGATTTTTCGGATTTTTTTTTAAGTTCTCGAAACTGCCGATAAAAAACACAGAACTTCCCTTCAAATGTTCTCACAATTTTTTAATGTTAATGAAACTTCCTTTACGTTTCCTGAACCTATCGGAACTTTGCTGAAAATTTTGGAAATTTCCTGAATTTCTCAGAACTCATTAAAAAAAATTCAGAAATTGAATGTATTTTTTCTTGATGTTCTCAGAGCCTACCTAAAGTTATCTCAATTCTCCTGAAACAAATGGAACTATCCTGAAAACCATTAAATTTCCTTGAAGGTCTTTGGACTTGTTAAGTTTCCCAATTATTTCAAATGTAACCGTAAATTCACTGGAGTTCTCTGAACTTTCCTGAGATTCCCGTGTTCTTGAATTTGAACAGAAGTTAATGAAACTCTCTTTAATTTGCACTTTTCCTGAAGCTCATGAAACTGCAATAAATCTCTGGAAGTAGGGGTAAGAGGGGCATAGTGAACAGGTGGGGCATAGTGAGCATCCCGTGCACCAGCTTGGACTTCCGGCCGTTCGGAACAAATTGGTTGGTGGTAGGATCAATATCATAATGATATTGAACCTACTATCAGTTGATTTGTTTCGTGAAGCTAGAGATCCAGCGCCAAACTGCGGAATGCTCACTATGCCCCACCTGTTCACTATGCCTCTCCTCCCCCTATCCCTAAAGTTTCGGTGAAGTTGAAAAAAAAACTGATGGGAGACGACGGAAGAACCTTTCTTCGGTCAGTCAGTCAAAAGAAAGTTGGAAGAAACTTCAAAGGGAATATTAAAGGAATTTCGTGATGTTAAAAAATTAACGTATTGATGGACCTATTTGTTCACTGAATAAAAAGCTTAGAGGTAACTCTTAGACTAGATTTTCCCGAAGAAACGTGCTCAACTTTTTGGCTCAGCTCTGGTACTATCTTCGGTCCCAAGCTAATTGGTGCACCCCTCGAAACATAGGAAAATCCACGAACCCTTCATTTTATCTGTCAAACTTTCATAGCAAATCAAAACAGATATTATGTAGTACTAGAATTTTGACTAGAATGGGGTACGTTAATCGTTTGCTTGGAACCAATAGGCTAGTCAAGTAGTGAGCCAATTTATAATCGTTAGTTTCGTATTGATTGTTGCTTATACATTGTGTGCCAGCCTTTATTCTTTACCGACTATGAGGTACACGGTTAGAAAAAAGTACCCAAAATTAAGTTCTTTTCACTCATCTCGGCACTATAGTGCAGGAACCCAAAAGTAGGTAAAGCGGGTCAAAGTAATTTTCATTTACTTGTGTGTAGTTCGTATGGAATTTTCCACTAGCTTTTTAACCAAAAGTAAGTTAGTTGTACCCAACAGTAGGTAAATATGATTATACCCAACGTTGGGTTCCCACACTTTACTACCCCTGTTGGGTGGTTTTGCTCCTTCTTTTTTGACATCATTAGAAGGAGAAAATGAGACAAACTAGTCAAAAGTAGGTAAAAGTGAACTGGCCGTTGGGGACTTATTTCTTACCGTGTACACTCTCCTTCATAGTTACTCAAAAGTGAGTAAAAATCTACTCTCTTTCGGTAAAAGTGGAACTACTCTGAAGTGAGTAAACCTACACTGATAAATTGAACTATTCCCATTTTGCTTGAAATTTAATCAATTTGACATTAAACTCAGTTTAGTCATATCGACTGATTAAAAATTAACCCTCTCTTTCTAAAAAATAAGCATCTGATGTTAATCCCAGTTTAGTCATGGTTGATTAGATTGTAGATTATCTTTTTTTGAATAAATTTTAATCATTTTTGATTATATTTTAATAATTTTTGATTGAATTTTAATCTTTTTTGATTATATATCAGTATTGAAAAAGAATAAAATTTAATATTGGAAAAATTATTTCGATTTTAATCATGCATGACTACTGCCGAAGTAATCATGGCTCGGACTCAATAAGGTGAAGCGGGAAACTGCATACTTTTTAAGCTTTTTTGATTTAATTTATCTTTGAGTGTATGGTTACTCACTTTTGAGTAATGCTAGCATTTGCCAAAATCAGAGTAACTTGCACTCAGTACTGA